CCAGCAGCACAACAAGACCACAGTGTGCGTGTGCTAAAACCTGCCTCCCACTGTCAACCTCGTCTTCGGTGGCGTTTCTGCTCCTTTATGTTTGCAGCTCTCCTGCATCGTCACAACTCAAAGCAGCCTTACTGTAAAGGTTGTAAACAGACTTATCTTGTTGCTCAGCACTAGTACAGTCCTCACTTGAAAACAGTTTTTTTTTAAATGAATTTTGTGTCTTTGTTTTTGAAATTTCTTCCTGATAAAATGTGTCTTATTCCACCTCCGTTTCTGGTAACAGTTGTAAGAAATAAGTGTGACTAATATTGCTGGTGTAAATATTATGAATTTTATAGCTGAGTATTGAGAAGTAAGTCAAACTGTTCATTTAAAACAAATCTATATTTTTTATACATTCTTTTAATGTACAATGATGAAAGATCAAAATCTCCTTTAGATGAACTCCCCTCAGCTTTCCTCTCCTACTCCTCTCTCTGTCAACACACAGTCGTGTGCACACCTTGTGTTCAAACATATTTATGTATTGTTATTCTTATCATTTTATTTAATCACTGGAGATTTGTCTTGAATATAAAATCTGAAGGTGCTGCTACAGTCACGAACCAGTAAGCTACTACATTGTGTATATTGATATATAAATATATGTAACTCGTCATGTAACATGTTTTCCTTTTTAAAGTATACTTTTGACATAACACATCAGCCCCCCATGAGGTTTCTAATATTGGAAGATGTTTTTAAGTTTTCATTGCACAATACATCTTAAGGGGTAAATCCACTCTCTCAATTATCTGTCATTGTTGTAGTTTGTAATGAGATATTACAGTCGATTTTAGTGTCTTCACTTCCCTCAGCCTGCAACACTCATTCATACATCAAGTAGTGATTTTTCTAAGTCTCCGAGAATGCCTTTCAGCAGCCTTCTGCTTGTGCAGATGCTGGTATGTTTGTCCCTAAAATGATGGATCTCTCCCTCTGTGTTTGCTAAATATCCAGGTGGTTCTAAAACAAAGACGTCCTTTGGCTCTGAGGGACTGACAAAAGAACTGATGTTTACAATCATCACTCATGATTATTTTGTGCTGCCAGATTTCTATTGTGGCTGCACTGAAGTCTCAGTAATGTCATGCTCCATCGCTAACACGTTGTTCCTGCAGAGAGGGGACTCGGTTCACCGGTCCATCCTTCCACCTTGTTTTTTTCCTCATGTGCAACAAGACCATAACTGCTGGTTTCTGTTTTGCTGAGGCTGATTGAGAGGTTTATTTAGCATTCTCTTTCTATGAGCCATTGTCCCTCCATGCTGCAGCTGCAGTCGTATTGTTACTGATGTATGCACAAGGCTCATTTGTGAGTAAATACACTCTGCATGGACTTTATAAGAGAATATTTTTGCACTATTATGGTGACCTTAATTGTCTTTGAGAAGGGAGTTTTGTTTTCTTTTAAGAAAAAATAATAATGCAGCTAGGAATGAATGACATGATTAGATTCTAAAATAAAAACAGCAAATGTAGGATGTCAAATGACAAATAATCAAATCTCCTTAGAAGGGAATCCTCATTACGCTGAGTGGAGTTTGTGTGTCGAACGTGGCCGTGCCCTCTTCTGCCTCTGGTTTTGTTAATGACAGACAGTGTGTGATTCAGATGATGAATATCCACTGCGAAAAGATAATGACCATTACACAGGAAAGACAGATGTCTCAATCTTTGTTAGAACTTGTTACACGATGTTTTTTCACTGAGCGAAGTGCAATTTCTAACAGGAATTTGTAGCATTATGGATTGGATCAATAAATACCGTACAATGTTGGAGGAATGATGATGTTCATGTTTGACACGTTCTCCCTCAAATACAGTCTGTTACTTGCCGTGGGATCCCTTGGTTTCTGATTTTTATATCGTATTTTTGAGAATTCTCATGAATCTTTGTCTACTCATTTACTCTGTTGAATACTCACATCCCTGATTCAGATGGCTGTGTTAGCAGCAAAAGTGCATGTGTACAGTGTAAATGTGAAAAACACTTATCTGGAAATGAACCTATTTAAATAAAAAGTTCTCTGAAGTAAAGTAATTTCAATGCTGTCCAAGTAGATGCTGACTTATTTGGAATTGTTATGCCTGCTGCTTGTTTTTGATTTGAACTTATAGAACTGTAAACATAATGGACACATCAGGGACACGTCTAGTTGCATTTTTTAAAAAAAAACTTTATTGTCAGAGTTTTTGTTCAGCCCTCTTATATTATGCCTGTATTACATGATGAGTACAATGCATTATTTCACTATCACACTTCACAATTTTTATTTGAAAGGCACTCACATTCACATTCCTATTAGGTGCTGTCAGTATTACACACTCCCTTAATACCTCACAATTTCTTGTTATTTGATTCATTTTTTCCCCAGAATTTTAATAGTTCTAATAACTTGACAAGTACAGGACAAAGATACTTTTCTACAATCTAAAGCCAAAGTCTAGTTTTTGTCTGCGTGGCTTTTTCTTTAACTGAGTTTTAGCGTCCAGAACCAGCACTGGTTTAATGTCAATCACATAAAGTGATAGAAACAAGCATGTCATTGCGACGTCAGTGNTTTTAGCGTCCAGAACCAGCACTGGTTTAATGTCAATCACATAAAGTGATAGAAACAAGCATGTCATTGCGACGTCAGTGTGTTATGACGTCACAATGCATGTGGCAATGTCTCAACCATGTCATTGCGACGTCAAACTGTGTGTGTTGTGTCGTCACAATGTGTGTTGTGATGTCACAATGCATGTTGCGACGTCACAAACATGTCTTTGCAACGTCACAAGCATGTCATTGCGATGTCAATGTATGTTGTGACGTCACAATGCATTTGATATTGCGACATCACGTGTGTTGTGACGTCACCATGCATTTGATATTGATGTCACAATGACATGTCATTGCAACGTCACAATACATTTTCTTGTGATGTTACAAACATGTCATTGCGACGTGACAATGTGTGTTGTGTCATCACAATGTGTGTCATTCTGACGTCAATGTGTGTTGTGACGTCACAATGCATTTAATGTGATATCACAATGCATGTTGCAATGTCTCAAACCATGCCATTGCAACGTCACAATGTGTGTTGTGACATCACAATGCATGTCATTGCGACGTCACAATGTGTGTTGTGACGTCACAAAGCATGTTGCGACGTCACCATGCATTTAATGCGATGTCACAATGCAGTCCTCGGTTCTCATTCCGTCTGACCAATCGTTGCACTTCGGCTCCGCCCCCCTCCATCGTTGTTGCCTCACTGGCTCCAAAAATCCAAGATGTCAACCAGGAAGTTGCAAAACGGCTTAATTTATTTATTTATTTTTTTAATTTTTTGATTTAAAAAAAAAAAATCATATACAAACAATAAAGCACAACAATTCACAGGTCAAGTTAAACTGTGCCAGTATTTGATTTAGAAGCTCAGCTGCCATTTTGGAACTCATAGCTTTCAGTGTTTAACAATACAATTTAAACACATTATCAAAACCTTTTAACACAGGTGGAGACTTAAAATTTTTTTGATTTATGTATGTAATGTTTTGCTGATATAAGGATAACATTTACCAGCAAGTTGTCCAGCTTGTTTTCCAAAACCATTCCATATAAAATATCAACATGAGATGTCAGTTTAACCGGTACATTCTTTCTCCCGAACCATTCTTGCATCTGAGACCAAAAGTCTTTACCAAAGTGACATTCATAAAAAACATGGCAGGTGGATTCACCGTCTGATTTACAAAAGACACATTCGTTATTATCAAAGTTAAATCTAAGTCTCAAAAACTCACTTGAAGGATATATGTTGTTGATCATTTTAAAATGAGTTTCCTTAGATTTTGGTAGTATAGGATATTTCAAATATTCAGTTCTTAATGTATTAAGAATTAATATGATTAACCTTAACTGGTTTAAAAAAAAACGAACAACAAAAAAGGGCTGGCGCAGTTGGTAGCACTGTTGCCTTGCAGCAAGAAGGTCGCCGGTTCGCGTCCCGGTGGGGGCACCGGGATCTTTCTGCATGGAGTTTGCATGTTCTCCCCGTGCAGTGTGGGTTCTCTCCGGGTTCTCTGGCTTCGTCCCACACAGTCCAAAAACATGTTGAGGTTAATTGGTGATTCTAAATTGTCCGTAGGTGTGAATGTGAGTGCTGAAATCAACGGGTAACGTCACGGTAGTTACGTCCATCTTTCTTATACGGTCTAAACAAGTTGTGACATGTCTTGTGTCGAGCCCGTGTAGGAAGTTTCCTGACGTACCTTCCGTTATGTCAAGTAGCAACCAGCAGGTAACGCTGAGAATTCAAAATAAAACTCTAAAATAGTCGTTATTGATATATGTAAATATAGTAAGGGTATACTAAGTATTTATATGTAAATATAGTAAAGGAACTGTAAAGGTTGAATACCCTTTGAAATTTTCTACATTATTACTATATTACTTCTAACATTTAAAATGAGAATTACTGTGAAAGTAAGTAAGTGAAGATTACTTATATGCCTAGACATTTTGACAGAAGAGTGTTCCATGCAGGGCTTATCCATCTTAAGTCACTTGAACTGTAGCTATCCAATGTGCTTTATCAAAAATTCAAGCTTTAACAACCATTCCATGTTTTAATCACTTCAAAAGATTATTATACTGTATATGACTCCTCGTGTACTTCTTAATAGCATTGTTGCTTTCAAAGCAAATTATAGCAGTAAGTGACAAAAACAATAGTTTAACTTTACTTATATTTACTGAAAAAAATAATAAAAGGGACATTAATGTGAGTAATGCTTTGAGACTGGATTCCGCTTTAAAACCGGTCTGCTGCCTTCACATCCAGCTAATGTTTCTCTACAGTGCTTTTACTTTGACAGTCGCTGTAGGAAGGCTAACGTCTGACACTGCTAGCATCCTGTCAGGACTGATGTGATTTTCAGCGCGGGAAGAGACTTGGGAAGAACGGGGTCAACATAAACAATTCCTGCTCGTCGAATTCGCGTCTTATATATCTGTCGTAACAGTTTTTTTTTCTCAGCAGCCTTACCAGTTTAGCCATGGGACACGTTACCAGGAATGACCCAAAGTAACGTGAAGGAGGACTTAGCATTAACTGCTAGGTAGCCGCTGATAGCTTTCCAGTGACTGTACTCAGGTAGGCAACAAATGTACAGCAGCACAGACACCTGTTAAGCTGCTGCAGATTTCTTAACAATGTGTTAGTTGTAATACCTTAGGCTTATGAGTTTATAAGTTGTAGTTACTAACAAAGCTGTCATCCAAACTCATGTCTGTATATTGTGAAGCTAATAGTAGGCTTTACTGTATGTATGTATTTTTGTGAAGCCAACACAGGGACATGGCTACATCCAGAGTGGAGTACACCATAGGAGGGGTGAAGATCCACTTCCCCTGCAAGGCTTACCCGTCCCAGCTGGCCATGATGAATTCAGTGAGTGACTTCATGCCTTTGCAACTGAAACGCAACAGTTTAGTGCACTTGTCTGACATGTGGGTGTGTTATAAATGAGTGGCTGAGGCTAGCTCATAGTGGGTACACTGTAATTAGGACCCCAGTCTATCACAGGGATCAAATACTACTGCGCAATGGCATTCCAGCTAAAGTGAGTTCAGCTAGGAGAAAAACAATAAATCGATCTTGGTACTTGGTGGGTACAGTTGTGACTAAAAGTTTACATACACTCTATGTGTAGTCCATGTGTATCATGGCAGTACTGAGTTTCCAGTGATTTCTATAACTCAATTTTCTATGATGGAATGATTGAAGCGCATGTGTCTTTGTCAGAAAAAGCAATTGAAGAATTCATTTGCAAAAAAAGGTAACTCCAAACCTTCAGAAAACCCACTTTTTCCATTGTCTACCTGAGACAATATCAATCAAACTTAACTTATCTCTATTTTTGTCATGTCGTTTCTACTCAGTCAAATCCACTCAGCTTCACTTTGATTGATAGTATCTCAAGCAAACAACAACAACAACAACAAAACTATTTCTGAAAATCTACAGCAATGGAGCTATCTGTTTTTGAGAATGAACTCTTCAATTGTGCAATTAAGTTCTTTCATAAAGTTATTATAGGTTTTCTGGAAATATGATAAAGTGCTCGGTCAAAAATATACACACAGCAACTAGAATTTTTAGTTCTGACGATGTAAAAAATTTGTGTTAATCAATTTTTCTTAGTGGCATGGCTTCTTAACTTCTTGTAAGCAATTGTGGTTGATTACAGTTGCTGACTTCTTTGATCCGGTTTAAATAGGTCCCATCCGATACGCTCATCATGCTTAGCCACAAACACTACAATGGCAAATTCCAAGGAGCTCAGGACAGATCTGAAGAAGCAAAACATTGACTTTACCAGGTCAAGAAAGTCATTTGAAGCTGTTTTAAAACAGCTACAGATCCTAAAATCAACTGTGCAAACCTGCAACGTTCAGCAAGAAAACACAAACTATCACCTGCTGCTGAGAGACAATTGGTCAGAATGGTCGAGAGTCAACAAAGAATCCCCAAGAAGCTGCTGGAGCACAGGTGTCAGAGTCCACCTGTCTGGCTGGATGTTTGTAGTCTTATGCCATGCTCCAGAATAAATCAGATGTCTTCCTATTGGGTCCTGTTGGATCCAACATACAGACAATGTATGCACAGTAATATCTATCCACAATCTAACAAAAACAGCAGCACCTGAAATTGTGAAATATAGAATTTGGATTTGCAGATAGTGATGTTGTAGAGTACAATAGAGTGTAACCAATAAAGAAGTGTGTCTGCACCTCGTCTCCAGATCGTCCGAGGGTTGAACTACGGGCAGCACTGCCTTCTGGAAAGTCCTACAGGAAGTGGAAAGAGTTTGGCTCTTCTCTGCTCAGCTCTGGGATGGCAGCAAGCTCAGCATGGTAAGCTTGCTTTGACAGAGACCAGTAAACAGAAAACAAGTGTTTTGGCACTTCGCCTTAAGAGCAAACTCAGTCAAAATTCACTGGGTTCTGGTGGAGAATTTATTTACAGCAAAAATTTCAAACAAGCAGCATTTTCACTTTTTCTGTCACTTTTTTCATTCAGACTTTCATGACCACATGTAAATCAAGCTGAATTACATACCTTTACAATATACTGTATGTACAGTGACATGAGGCAAGATGACGCTTCATTTTGTTTAATTTTATAAAATTTAAACAAGTCATTCCTAGTCTTAAAGATGTCAAATGCTTGGCAACCATAGCGACACTGCTTGATATTTTTTGCTGTTATTTGTAATTGTTTTCTCATGACCTCCTTTATGTACTGACTGTATTCATTGTTATTGATTATTACATCTATTTCAATGTGCAATAACAGGTAAACTACAAAAAGGGAGTACTGTAGAGGACAAGAGCCTGCCAGATGCCCCCACACCTTGTCAGTGCGTATGCCACAGTAAAACCAGCAAGACCGCCGATACAGCAGCAACTGAACCTGCTGTTATGGACCACACTGTGTCACACAGCAAAGAGACTGCTCAGCTGCACCCTCCAGCACCCAAACATCGTAAGAAGATGTTTTTTTTTTTTCTTGTGGCAGCATGCGAAACATACAGCATACAAAAAAAATGAGAATATCGTGAAAAGTTGAATATTTTTCATCAGAAAGGGAAAATTTTCTATATTCTAAACCCATACATGTAATGTAAAACATTTTAAGCCTTTTTTTTTGTCATGTTTGCGGCCTATGACTTGTAGCTAATAATATTAGAAATACTGTATCTCAAAATATTATAACATTTAATTTCAAGTTTGAGTAAATTACAATTCAGACAGCATGAATACTGTCGATCTAGTTTAGTACACACAACCACAGTCATAAGGAAGACCTGCTGATTTGAAAGTTGTTCTGTAGATAACCCTCCACAAGCTAAGAATACCACAGAAGGTCATTGCTGAATGGGTTGGCTTTTGGCGAAGTGCTGTATCAAAGCATAATAACAGAAAATTGACTGGAAAGGAGAGTGTGGTAGGAAAAGTTTCACAAGCAATAGAGATGACTGCAGCCTTGAGATGATGGTCAAGAAAAGCTGATACAAGAACTTGGTAGAGCTTTGTGAGGACTTAGCCTGGTGTCGGTGCATCAAGAGCCACCAAGCACAGACATCTTCAGCTAAGGGGCTACAACTGTCACATTCCTGACATCAAGCTACTCCTGAACCAGGGACAACATCAGAAGAGTATTACCAGGGCTGAATAGAAAATGAAGTGGGCGTTGCGCAAGTCCTCTTTTCAGTCGAAAGTAAATTTTGCATTTTAGTTGTAGATCAAGGGCATAGAGTCTGGAGGAAGAGTGGAGAGGCACAGAATCCAATGTGTTTGAAGTCCAGTGTGACGTTTCTACAGTCTGTGATGATTTGTGGTGTCATGTCATCTGCTGGTGTTTGTCCGCTGTGTTTTATCAAGTCCAAAGTCAATGCAATCTACCAAGACAGACTAAATGATTTGCTGACCATGATTACTGTGCTTGATTGGTCAGCTGACTCACCTGACCTGAACCCCATAGAACCCTATATGGGATGTTGTCAAGAGGAAGATGATGCCTGACCCAAAAAATACAGAAAAGCTGAAGGCTGTTATCAAAGCAACTTGAGCTTCAATAACACCTCAGCAGTGCCACAGGCTGATCGCCTCCATGTTGTGCTGCATTGATGCAGTAATTTGTGATTTTAAAAAAATCCCCAACCAAGTATTAAGTGTGTAAATGAACACATTTTTTTTTAGAAAATGGACATTTCTGTATTGTAAATCCTTTTATTGATTGATCTCAGGGAATGTTGTAATAATTTGAGATACAGTATTTCTGATTGTCATGAGCTATAGGCCACAGTCATCAAAATTAAAACAAAAAAAGCTTGAAATATTTTACTTTACATATAATAAATACAGAATATATGAAAGCTTAGTCATTGTAAAGGTTAATGGTTCTTATTGCAGTCATAGTAAAGGCTCACGGTTATCTTAACAGCATGCTGTATAGTGTGGGGGTGTGTGGTGCTGCCCATTATATTGAGCAGCTTGTGTAATATCCTCCTTTTGACAGCCAACTCTTGGGACTCCAGTCTCAGCACGGCCGGCCTTCTTTGTCAGTTTGTTCAGTTTCTACTCATCATCTATGAACATGACTCCCTTGCTGCTGCTTGTCTTGGCCACAACAGACAGCAGCATCTTACGACACATGTTGAAGGACCTAAGCTTCCTCAAGAAGTGGAGTCTGCACTGTTTCTTCCTGTAAACAACCTCAGTGTTACATTTCAAGTCCAGGCTGTTTTCGAGGGAAATAATGCATTGTAGCTGCATTCAGTGTAGGCATAAAGCAATCGTTTACATTAAATAATTGCATCTTGCATTTGGCCAAAGCTAAGATGAGCCACTGCCAAACTTAAGTCATTCTCTGGGTTTCTTTCTTATATCATGTGTAATCCAAGTGTGTGTGTTTTTTTTGCTTTGTTTTAGTACCTTTACCAGAGGAGGAACAACCCAAAAAACCATCTCTAGCTTCTCGTCTGTCTGAGAAGTTCCAGGCTTCTCTCAGCTCTGACTGCGAGAAAGACAACGACTTTCAGCCAGACAGGAAACGCGTTCGCACTGCAGAGCTCAAGGTAGCCATGGGTGCTTCTTGTACTCTGTTTTACATTTATACTGAATTTACTGTTTGATGCATTTTACATGAATATATGCATTTGATGTAAAAGGACTCAATAGCAGTATCTGAAATGCTGAGTAATGTGCAGCCCACTGAAGTAAATTCCCCATGTTTGGTTCTCAGAGCCGAAAAAAGCAGCGTCTGGAGCCCGGAGTCATATTCATAGATGATGAACCGGAGCAGGAGAATGAGCCAAGGGGTCCTCAGAATTGGACTGCAGAGAGCAACGGCCAGGCAGCTGGTTCATCCTCATCCTGCTGTGTGAGTACCGTCAAGACCATCATACAGAGTTACTCCAGTAGTATGACTGTACTGACACATGGGGGCAATGTTGTCCATTTATTTACATTTAAATATCAGTCAGTGACAGTGAACCACCTCTGACATGACCAGTGTGAAACTTTCCATGGATTACGGCTATCACGTAGAGCTGATCAGTGCTGCTTTCTTGGACATTATTTTAACTTTTGTCTTCCTGTAGGTAGAGGGAGCAAGTTATCTTTTCCATAAGGCTTAAATAGTTGACAATGCCTATGAAAAGATTTATACAGGGAGTGTTTCTCTAAAGCCAGCAATAAGCTGTTTTTTTTACTTGCACGTAAAAAAACTCTTCACATGGTAGATATAATTTTACCTGTATTTTTAGGCATGTCTCAAAGATACAGAGAAAAAAACTAAGTAAACATCAGTATTTAAGCGAAGTATCCTTGACATTAAAGATATCACTTTGTCCCAAAAGGCTTAATATGTAGCTGAAAAAAGTATCACAACAAAATGTTTAAATTCAATTTATATTGACAATTATCGACAATTTACAATCATATAATTCTTGATAAATACCAGCAGGAAAAACATTTGCTTTGCAATTTACCACTTTATTTGGCAAGGTATACAGGTAATAATTTCAGTATTAACACAATAATAATAATAACAATATACACATTGATACACATTAAATAATGATTTGGGTTATTTCATGCAATTGAACTTTGTGTTCTCATTATGTTGCTGTCATGATGGTTTGCATCTGATGCATTCATCTGATGCTTACTGATAGCAGCTGATAAAGTGTGTATGACTGGTACATATTACTGTTATTCAGTCAGTACCAGAGTATGTGGCCATAGCCCATCTGTACTGACCCACAGTCTCTCCAGCAAGAATACTGAGTCCAAGTACATTTGAATTAGAACCAGAGTTTCTGCCATTAAAGTCATTTATTTTTGAAATAATAGATATCAGTGGAAAGTATTAACTGTCAGCATTCTTTATACAAAGCAGTACGATGCAGTACAAGCAGGCAAAAGCACTGTTAATGTTATCTGTTCATGATCTGCTTTAAGTGCTTCTCTAAGCCATTACTATGAGCTAACATGCTTCTGTAATCGACAATAATGCCATTAATTTCATCTGTGCTTGTCTTGCACTGACATTTCAAAACATTGGTTTGACAAATGTCTGTGCTGCTTTGCTGTTACCAAGACATTTAAATGGAACAGAGCCATCAATACCATTATTGGCTGTGCTTCAAAGATCTGTTGTACACTGTTACTGTGATAGATGGCCCACAGAAACACAGATGGGTTAACTTCCTCATGGAAAGTATCACTGGAGTAGATTACAGCGAGTTTTGTTCTTACTTTTGTGGTTCCACTGTGTTATCAGTAGGTTCAGAATCACCCTAAATGTCACCACTGGGTGCCAGTATACTCCACCAAATTTACTCAAGGCTGTAGTTAAAGTTTCAAACTTGTACAGGCTTAAAATGAGATGTTCAACAATGCAGTTATTTGTGTTTTCATTCAGGTACGTCACCTAGGTTTTAATACAAACATTATGTTTTGCAACATTATGTTAAGAAACTGGTGTGAGTGGGTGTTATATTCATCTGATCATTTTCACTTCTTTTAGCATGTCATCAAATTTTCTGAAAATTACACAGCAAAAGTGTTTTTAAAACTGACTCTCCTTTTCCCCTGTTTAAGGATTAATAACGAAGTAGTATAATACAAACCTATATACATATTAAAACTGTACCGTTGGGCCTAAAAGCACAATTTGGCAGCAATGCGAAAGGTAGAATTTATGTCCCATAAAAACCTGTTGACATTTCAGGCTGCTGTAAAAGTGCTCGTCATTGCAGAGGGAAATCCTAGCACACTTGAACAAGGAGACTGTTGTACATTAAACCACCTGTCCTGTGACAAATGTAGTTTTGTAACCTCTGACATTTTGACATCTGTGTCAGGTGTGGTTGTTTTACACTGACAATTATTTATTTTTTTTCAAAATCAATGATAGTAGACCATCTTTACCATATTATGGAATGTAAGATGCCACTTACATCTACTTGAGTAGACATGACATTACTCCTCAGTTAATAAAAATTAACAGCACAAAATAAAACATAAACTTTGAGTTGGACATTGATATGTTCATTATTAATGAAATGAGTTACTTGTTTGGCTAAAATTATTGAAAAATGGCAAATGTGCTCAACTTTGCTTCTTCACAGTTCGTGCTTTGTCCAACTAGTACTAAACTCAACGATAATCTGTTTACTAACATTTATTGCAATAAAAAGCAGAACATCCTCACATTAGAGAAACAAATCCTTGGCCAAGTAAGTATTTTTGTATTTGTTTTGTATTTTTGGTCACTCATGTTGATTTTGGCGGCTCAGAGTATTCATGACCAATCCCTTTCTTCTGTTAGTTGAATGTTTTTGTCTTATAAAAGTATAACATCTTATGTGAACCTGTTTCTGCAGTCAGAAGCAACCAGACCAGGTGCATCAAGTAACACCATGTTCTTAAAGATACCATGAGGTTGTTTCTGGTGAATAATCCATGTTCGGGCGTTCTCTCCAGATTCCAAAGACCAACAGGTTTCCTATAATCATTCAGACATGCTGAGCCATAGAATGCTGCTGCACAGCTCATAGGGGTGGTTAAACTCTCACAACTGCATCTTAACCTGCCACAGGTGTGTGGCTTGGATTGAGAGCCGTGGATGGTGGGAGGTGGAAAAAGAGGAGGAGGGAAAGTGAAGTCGAAAAAGCGCGTCCATCTCTGGTTTCCCTGCAGCTACATGACCCGGGCTCTTTTGTCCCGCGAGCGCTGACTGACGGCCTGAATGGGGCCCTTTGAAGCAAGCTCCAGTTTTAATTAAGAGGGTTTGCCTCGCCTGGGCCGCTGATCTGTGAAAGCCACGGGGATAAATATTGAATGGGGTTCACCCGCTGGTTACTGCGCCCGAGGGATAAACAGGTGCTTTGGAGGGCAGATATTTGCCAGGGCCTCTACCTGCACAGTGTGGTCATATCGGGAGGAGGGGGTGTTGGGTGTCATGTCTTCCGAGGTATTGGCTATTGAAGCCCACCCTTATTGGAATGAATTCCAAGCCCTCGAAAGCTGTGGAATGAGGAGCAAATTGGCGTCCAGTGAGAGGCGCCAGTGATACCACTGCCTGCGGCCCCTCAGTGCCCTCTGACTGGCCCCCTGGAGTGTGAGATTTCCATCTCTCAGGTGTTGGCAGTGAGTATCGCAACAGAAGCCTACCTGTGAATATTCGGAGGTGTTCAGTAACACCACTGACCTCTGTTCTGTCAATTCAAGAAAGCTTTAGCCGCTGCATACACTTACGCCTGGCAGTGTAGGTATACCAGGGAAACTTAGTACACCTGCGCTAAGTAAACTTAGTATACCTGAAGAAACTTAGTAAACCCAAAGAAACCCAAAGTACACTTTACCCGTACAGTGTACCTGTAAATGCTGTGTTACAAGAAAACAAAAAAAACCCAAAACAGTTCTTTCATGTAACTTGCTGTTTGACAGACAAAGCAAGGGCATTGTCACCGCTCACAGCACCCAAGGAACAACACCACTGGAATTGTTCTGCACTGAAAGAACCAGTATGTTCTCGGTGCGAACAGAGCTGGCGTTCCGTTTGCCCCTTTTGCCAGTTATCTACATTCCTTTCTTAGGGGTGTCTGCTCCGGGCTGTGGGGCCAGGCTTGAAACCTTGTTGTCCTGGCATCTCGGGAGGCAGCCGCGTAAAAGGATACTCTTGTGTCAGCTGTTTCCTGCTGCAGCTTTTGACAAGGGCCTCTATTCATCAGCAAGCCCTTCTACACTGCCCCAACCCACCCCCACTCCCCCCACCTGCCAATGAATAAGTAATTATTGGCCATCTTGGGGCAGGATATTTGGATGGCTCTATTTAATGTGGCAGCAGCAGGTAAGGTGATCGGGCCCAGGGCCCAGGCTGTGGAGCGTAACTGTTCCAGAGGAGAAAGGTAACCTGAACTGGTGTTGGGGCCCTGCAGCACCTCTGTTTATTTTTCACATGGGCTCAGGGCTCGTTATCCCTCTTAACTCTGAGAGGCGGCTCTTTAAGGGCTCTCTTTGGCCTACACTCCATCACACATTGTAATATTTGATGGGCAAACATGCTTGGAAAATCTGAGCTGCCCGGTAACCGGAGCCTCTCGTCTGTCATCAGAAGTGCTACCTTCTGATCCCCATGATAAGTTGCAATGCGTGACATCACATACCATTCATTCTTATGTGGAATCATTCAGGTAATTTGTAGAGGATTTTAGGATAAGCATGTTTGCTGGGCTTGTGAGTTACATATATTTGATATACAAAATGGTAATCTCTGAAGAAAGAAGCAGAATACCTTTTACATGAGATGATACCATGCAGTGGACAAGGTGGTGTATTAATGTTGACTTTTTGGTCTGATGCCATTGACTGTTTAACAATTCAAAGAGCCAGAATGCCAATATAGATCTCCACAGTCCGACAAGTGCCTCTTGGGGAAGAACAGGAGATTACCAACCTATGTCCAGTATACAGACAATAATGAACAGGCAGTCCTCCCTCCTTTATCATTTTCATTTATTCACACAGTGTGATTGTAATGGAGACACAGGACAGAAGCTTTCGTTGAGACGTTATGCAAAGCAAGAGTCTTTCTCACTCAGAAGCTGAAGTAGGTCATATGGATAAAACACTTCCTCATAGAAATTTTTATTTTATATTGCAGTATTATTATATATCATGTTAAAGTCTACAGTTTTCTGTCAGATGAATCGAGATTTTTTAAAATTATGAAATGACCAGACAAGAAGTTAAAGCAAAATAGCTGGATGATAGAACTTTATTACATGGAAATCCGTATCCTACAAATCCAATACTGCTATATGGTGGACCAAATCCAGGATGTACAACAGTGCTCACAATGGCCTAATATATCCAAATCTAATAAAGTCATAGTTTTAACATAGTTTGTCTTATGGTATATCCTCATATAAGAACATATGTGACAGTTTCCCTTCCTGTGTGAGCAGCAAAACCTCTAGTGTATTGAACTGAGCAATGATCCTTTTAATTACTCCTGATTTTCAATTTGCTTTAATTTTTACTTATTTAGGCTGAAATTTGAGTCTCTCGTACCTCATCTACTCAGATCATTATTGTCCATGTACTCCTGTGGTGTGTTAATGTTGCTTTACCCTCTAAGATCCATGCCAGAGTTTGTTTTGCTATAGGGCCGAACAATTTGAGAAACAATGTATCATTACGATTTTTCTGTCAGTTATTTTGTCTCTGCGATCTGATTTGTGTTATTATTTTTTAAAGTCATGCTTTAGTTTGATATTTATTTAAAAGATTTAAAACGTTCTTACGAGACAGGTCAAAGCGCGACTGTCACATGCTAAGGACAGCATTAATTTGTAAAACCATTGGTATGACAGTTTAAACCTTGGGTAAGGCATGCTGCAAATTGTACAAGGTGCTTGTGGAATAATGAGAACAGGTTGATGTTAGTTAACACATGGTGTACCATGTAGTATACACTGATTTATGGGCATAAGCACCTCTTGAGTGTTTCAGTTGGCTCAAATTAAATTAAACTGAAATAATTTTGGAGCCCTACTGCACAGCAACAGCTTCCATATGCTTATGGAACCAGACACCAGACCGCTTACCTACTTAATTTATGAAAAAATAACAAGGGAGTGGTCCACACCTATTCATGAAACAGCTTTTGAATTACTTGTTAAACTGCTTTTGGGCCCTTGAAAAAAGAGGAGGCTTTGTGAGCTAATTATGAGCTGTAATTCCTAAACTCTTCTTCTAGTTGGCCTCAAATAAAGCTGTGTGTGCACTTAAAGCCTGTATTCATAATATAACTATAATTTAAATATGTTTTGATAAAAATTACAAGAATAAAACTTGTGTTAATGTCCAAAAATGTGTAGACCACGCATTATATTAGTGCTACATGAATAAATTACTGGAAGCACTACTACGAGCAACATTCCTAATACTTTTGAGACTACAGAATACAGAATATTATACTTGAAATTCTGGTTATGAGATAATATATGTGAAGTACTGAATGGTCAAAGAGTACGCCACTTAAAAGAGCTCAACACATAAGCTGGATTAGTTTCATAAGCGTTGCCGACTACATTTTATCTGTGAGCGGGGGGAAAAAGAACCAACCACGTCACTGGACGACCAATTATGAAGCAGCTAGATTTCTTCAGCCACCACAATGGCAGCCTATCATCTTTCAGACCCAGAAAAGGTCACCTGGAGTGTCAGAACACCTTATGTATGGACACAAATTCTTTATGCTTCCCCATGTGTTTTTCAAAGGACCATACAAGACAGTCTGTCAGAAAGCCTTTTCAGACAATGAGTAATGCTGTAGAGTTGGTAGCTTTTTGTATCATAATACACTAAAAGGCTTGACATTTAGAATATCAGGACAATACTTACAATGGAGAGGAAAATGCGACTCTTATGCATCAGACAAAGTGTCTCATTGAGTATTTATTTGGAACCTTGAAACACATCAGTAGAAATCCTGTTGATCAGGCCTCAGAGATATAGTTGTAAACAAAAATTTATATAAGGTTCACATTGGCAGTCTTTTTTTTTTTTTTAAGTTATTTTTTTGGCCTTTGTGCCTTTATTGGATAGTGCAGAGAGAGACAGGAAAGCAGGGGAGAAGAATGGGGGGAGACATGTGGGAAAGGGCCATGAGCGGGATTCAAACTCATGACCTCCACATCGGGACTGTAGCCCTGCACACGAGACGCCAGCTCAACCAGGTGAGCTATAGTGGCGCCCCTCACATTGGCAGTCTTGAGTTTCCAAAAACTCCTACAGCTCCCATATTCTGCGTTGGAATCATTGAAACACAAAAAACAATCATGCGTTTGGGTTCTTTTATGATTTATTGTAGCTCTGGTATTATGATCAAATCTACTGGGTCAAAAATATACATACAGCAACTTAGATTATCAGTTTTAGTGAAGACTTAATCAATTTGTTTTTACACTTTAACTGGCATGGTCTCTTAACATATACAACTGACTACAGCTGCTGACTCTCAGAGTCAATCCTAATAGAGCCCATTTGATACACTCATTAGACTCAGACAAAAAGGCTACAATAAGAAGGTGTAAGGAGCTCACCACAGATCTTTAAAAAAAAAAAAAGCAAAACTTTGACTTGAACAAGTCAGGAAAGTCCCTTGGAGCCATTTCAAAGCAGCTACAGATCCCAAAATCAACTGTGCATTGAATTGTTTTAAAGTAGGAAGTACATAATACACTTAAGTCACTGTTATAATCAGGAAAAAAACATGAACCATCTGACAATTAGTCAGAATGGTCAAGAGTTAACCAAGAATCACAAAAAAGCATGTCTGCAATGATTTCAAAGCTGCTGGAACACAGGTATCAGGAGCACCTTAATGCTTTACTGAAGTTTACTGCTCAAAGTACACAAAGCAAATGGGACATTGAAGAAGGAGGATTACCTAGATGAAAACCTAACATTATGAGGTTGTTGCCACATTTGGGTGTTTCAGCAAGACAGTGACCTCAAATACATCTCAAAAGTGTTGCAGAAATGGCTAAATCAGGCTAGAATTAAAGTTTTCGACGGATCTCCCCAAAGTCTTGACTTGTACCCCCTCAAGGGCCTGTGAGCTGAAACAAGTTTGTATCAGAAAGCCAACAAATTTAGTTGAAGTTCCCCAATTCTGTCAAGAGGTGTGGTCAAAGATACAATCAGAAACTTGCCAGGAGCTTGTGGATGGTTACAAAAAGTACCTAGTTGAGGTCAAAATGGCTAAGGAACATTAAACCAAATATTAGCATTGCTGTATGTGTATTTTTGACCCAGTAGATTTTATATTTCCAGAAGACCTATAACTGAACCAAAATGCAATGTGTGTCATGTCAAAATATACAGGCTGTTTTGGGTTATAGGCTAAGGGCCAACAGAGCTGGGTGAAGTGGAATATTGATCAGATGGGTCAGTGATTCATAAATACAGCCTCAACCAGTCACAACACTGAACTCATAGTCCTGAAACAACTGCTATGAAAGTGAAACATCACAACACAAGTCAATAAATGGAAACAGGGCTTCACCTGGAAATGTCAGGCACAGTGTATTGATGCCCTACATCCTCTAGGCTGGGCTATTATAGTGCCAATATTGTGCGTTATCAAACTAACATAAGACCTGTTTTCCATGTACCCAACTTCTGCTCGCAAAAAAACGTCTACCAATATGTGTTCACAGTGTTTAAGAAGGAATTATAATAAATCTGTATATCTATTATTAAAAGTTAATGGAATTATCAGCTTAAACGTGACAGTTGCTGATGTCAGATCTCAGCATACCAGTATCTGGGACTCAACTGCAGCATGTACTGAGATGTTGAAATCAAGCTGTGAACCTCTCAGTATTTGTGTTGTTTTCTCTGTCCAGGCCCCTGAACCCTGTTCCCGCTGCCCATGTGCTTCAACCAAAGACGGTGTGAAGAACAAGGACAAAGACAAAGATGGCAGTAAAAAGATTCCTACGATCTTCTTTGGCACTCGTACACATAAACAGATAACTCAGATCACCCATGAGTTGAAGCGCACTGTTTACTCCCGTGTGCCCATGACCATCTTATCCAGTAGAGATCACACCTGTGTCCACCCAGAAGTGGCGCCTTACTCCAACCGCAATGAGCGATGCAAAGAGCTACTGGAAGCCAAAGATGTGAGTATGAGCATTTACGCATGCATGCACACACTCTTTCAGAGACTCTGTAAATCTATTTTTAATTGTAGCCTACATCTGCATAGCAATGAAAAGATGCTTTGTGCCGTTGGATGATTTATCCCAGTGGAAGCAAGTATAATGGGAATAAAACTGGACCTAAAATTGAACCTTGCGGTACACCACAGGTAGCTTCAGTTGTAGTAGATAAGTAATTACCTATAGTGACTGCAAGAGCTCTTTTACGGTGAATTAAAATGGCATGGTCACCTGTGTCAAAAGCTGCCCTAAGGTCTAGAAGAATTAAAATAGCGCCTTTTTTCCTGTTGGCTGCTAAAAGCAGGTCATTAGATACCTTGAGGAGGGCAGTTTCTGTGTGCTGCAAAGCTTTCAAACCTGATTGGAATATCTCGAAGATGTCATTATGACACATCAAGGCTAAAAGTGGGGTTGAAACCACTTTTTTCTAACACTTTAGATTAAAAAAAGGAAGTTTAGAGATTGACCTAAAATTGTTGAGAACAGAGGGATCTAAGTTGGGTTTCTTTACATGAGGCTAAGCCCCAGTATGTTTAAAAGAAGATGGGGAAATGCCATTTGCTAAGAAGCTGTTGATCTGTAAAATGCTGAATACAACTGTGTCAATAACCTTTTTAAGAAATTTTGTGGGTGACATCAAGGCTGCACGTTTGTTTTATAATTGAAAAAAAAATTAAAATCCAAAAAGTTTTTTGTCTCTATTACAGTCACATTCCCTGTTCTCCACACCATCATACCCTGTGAAGAGAACTCTGACAGCAGTTTAGCCTCAGAGCAGCAATCATGCTGATACAATATCCACAATTGGTTTAGAAGTCTCTTTTTGACACAGTGAAATGTCAGGAACCATTGAACAAGCTTTTTTTAGAGACATGAGACACTCGCAACCCCCTATACTGTCCTAAAGGTGAGGCGCCTCCTGTAATGAGGACAATTACGCTGTCATCGTAGGTGTTTGCCTCCCATGGCAATTGTCATATAAAATGGCTGTCCCAGTCATAACCCCTTACTATAGTCGGTGTCACTGATGCTTCATCCCCTCAGGGGATAATCAGTGTCGGGTTACCATGCTGTACAGACACACAGAGATTTATACACAGAAACCCCTATCGTTCGTTTAATGTCATCTTCAGTCACAACACCCGCCCTCTGTTTGAACTGTGCTGAAAGCTGTCCTGACTTTCCTGAAGGTGGCTGAAGGCTGTTAATCCTCCCAACTCCCCTTTCACTGAGCAGACAGGGTTCAGTGTCAGCAAAGTGTCCAAGCTTAGCACATCATTTTGAGAAGTAGACCATTTCATCCAGACATTGTTATTGTGTCTGGAGGTTACTGAGTCCACTAGTGTACAGTGTATGTGTGACAGTGTCACCTCAAGCTGTTACATTTATTAACAACAGGGTGGGACATCTAAAGCCGCGCCTATGCTGACAGAGTAATTGAGGCTTGGTACATGAGATGCTGCTTCTTGACACACTGTCTGCATTCACTGTATGAGTGTCGGTACATGTAAGCTGGTAGAATAGCTGAAACACCTGATCACAGGCAGCCTCTGAGGTACCGTATGTCACCTGTGGTCAGTGTGGAAACTAGAGAAAAGAAATGCAACGTAACAATTGTCTCAGAAATACAAGAAATTCTAATGTTGCATAGTTGTACAGATTAGTTGTAAAGAATAACGAGGAAGATGTTAAAGAATTATTAACTATTATTATCCACTGGATGCTAATGACTTTTAAGAATAAACCATATATTAGCAGTATTACTTTTAGGTCTAATGAGCTAATTTTCTGTGTGTCTCCTAAAAATGTGTGTTACAGGGCCGGTCGTGCCGTTACTACCATGGTGTCCAGAAGATGCGGGATCAGTACTCACTACAGCAGGTCCACGGACTGCATGACGCATGGGACATTGAGGACCTGGTAACACTGGGAAAGCGGCTTCGCTCATGCTCTTACTTTGCTGCCCGTGAACTTATGCAGGGCGCCTCTATCATCTTCTGCCCATATAACTACCTTCTGGACCCAACGATCAGAGAGAATGTGAGTAGAGTTTGGAAGGGGAGCTGTAGAGTCGTTAGGAAGAATGTTGCAGGGGAAAGGATCTCTGTTGAATTCTAGCAAACAACTAAATCATATGTAGATTTTGGGGTTACTTACTCCGTCTTGCTTTGTTTCCGTCTCCACCAGCTGGACATCGACCTGGCAGGCCAAATTTTGGTTTTGGATGAGGCTCACAACATTGAAGACTGTGCAAGGGAGAGTGCCAGCTACACATTACACCACAGCAGTCTGCTGATGTCCAGAGACGAGCTGGACGGCATGATCAAAAGCAACATCCGACGCTCCAAGCACGAGCCACTTCAGAACTTCTGCTACAGTCTGATCAAGTCAGTGGTTTAGTTACTTAATTTTCCCCATCTTGGTTACACATCATTACAGTAGCTCTTTACTCAGGATGTCTTTTTGTCCTTTATGTAGCTGGATCCAGGAGAGCCAAAGCCTGATGTCTGAGCGGGGATATGAGAGCGCCAGTAAAGTTTGGAATGGGAAAGATATACTGAGCATCTTTCACACATTGGGTATCACTGCTGCTACCTTCAGCATTTTGAAGGTACACCAAATATCTTTTTCTGCTTGTGTACCTTGTAAATATGTCTCACTTTTTCACATTCATACATGACTTTATTAGTAGGTGCACTTTCCAGTTCCTTGGCTGTGGTGATTCCAGTGCATGCTGTCTAGGCTGGCTTGTTGAACTTAGTGGTACAGCAACTGATTTCTTCTATGAAAAACTGTGGGCTACAGTAATGTAGTCTTGACCCACCCAAATATCAGGAAGACATATCAAGGTCTTGTCCTGTCCTTGTATTTTCAGGAGCTTCTACCATGTTTATTGTTCAGGCATTTCTCACTATAATGTGCATGTATTTAACAGCTTGTCTCCATACTGTAAGGATAAAATAGGGGTAAAGAGGCAACATGGCTCATGAAAAATGCAGTCTTCCTTCTTTTTTTTTGCAAAATTGCTCGCAGCTTAAATATAGCCTAATTTTTACCTAAACATACTGAGGTAAAAATTGTCTTCTTTAAATTTTTGTATATGCTGTGTGGTCTTATTTTAATTCAGATGTTTTGTAATAATCTAAAGCATTGTTTTGGTCTTCCATGTGTTTCTGTGTGACAGGAAAATTTGGCAGCAGTGTTGGAGAAGGAGGAGCGTGTTGGTTTGATTCATGGTAGAGAGGACATGGTGCAGGTCCCGACCATCAGCTCAGCTACCGCTACTGTCCTCAAAAGCCTTTTCATGGTTCTGGACTTTCTCTACAGGGACAATTGCAGGTAAGGAATGAAGATGTTGACTGACAACTAAGTCATGTCAGTGCCTCAGATCAGCAGTCGCTCAATTGTGCTTGGTATATTTGTAGGTTTGCTGAAGACTACCGGGTAGCCCTGCAGAAGAGCTATGCTTGGACCAATCAGGTCCCTCCTGATGTACCTGACGCTCAGGGCTTTTTTGTTCGGCCACGTCATCGACAGCGCCAGAGTGTCAGAGTCAAGGCAGAAGTCCTGACCCTGAGTTTCTGGTGCCTGAACCCTGCTGTGGTAAGAGGTTAGACATGGCAGACTCCGCCATGTAGGCCATACTGATCTATTACTGAATAGTGTTACCAGGTATACTGATACTAGAAAGGTATCATAATACCCTGCTGTTAAAAACAAGACTATTCCCTATTTTATCAATAAGAGTACTTAAACAATGACAGAGTTTTAGTGGAACCATATTTCCTGTGAATTTTCTCAGTTTAATAGATTGTCCACAAAGTAGATGCATAAGGCTAAGTGTGGCATTATTTCTTCATAACCGACAGTCAGGACAACGCTGTGAGCACAAAAAATGTCTGTCAAAGATGTCTTCAACCAAGAATGAGGGAGCCAACACGTCTAACTTGACAAAGGATCTTGCCAACAGACATGCTGACAGATTTGCAAATGTGACAGATAACATAATTCCATCATGTTTGTAAGATACAAGTCAGGCAACTTATTTACGTGAAAAACAGACTTTCTTACCATCAGAGTCTGATGAGGTAATTAAGCGCAGTGATTACTGTTTAATCTGGCTTTGTCTTTTCGCTAACTCTCCAACGTGGCAAACATCTTTATATGCAAATGCTGCTTTCACATTGCTAGTGTTAACTCGTGTTTCTGCTACTAATCAGAAAATTCACAAGGATGCCGATTAACGACAACTGTATTAATGATCAACTGAATCCCTGCAGAAAGAGTTAAAGTGGGTGATTAAAATGCACGCTAATACTGATTGCAGTTATCTCTGAAAGGATGCATCTGTTAATAAGCAGCAGTTGGACATGAAGGTAGAGAGACAAGAATGTGTTAAGAGCTGAACTCGGTTAAGAGTTGTACAAACACATTATGGTGCAGCAATTTCCTGCTGTTATTTTAGAGCTTATTTTTACATTGTCCACACATCCTTCACAGCCTTGTATTAACATTGTTAACATATTTTCATTTTTAATCAATTAAAAGAACAAACGTTTCGTTCAATGTCTGTCCTTGACTTTTCCTGATATTTTGCTCTGGTGTCATTTTAGTATCAGGCTATTTGGGCAGATATCATAGTGCCTAATTCTGGTATCATGACAACATTATTACTGAGGGCTATGAACACAAAGAGTAAACCATTTAACAGGCTGTGAAATTATTTAAGATGACCAATTTCTCTAATTCCTTCGTCTCCACTGAGTCATCATTTTCAGTATTTTGATTATTGAATGTCTTATCTCTGTTTGTGTTTGCATCTCCTAGGCTTTCTCTGACTTGAGTGGGTCGGTACACAGCATCGTGCTGACATCGGGAACCCTGTCACCCATGGGCTCCTTCTCCTCTGAACTTGGGGTGAAATTCTCTATTCAGCTGGAGGCCAACCATGTGATCAACAAGTCCCAGGTAAGTACCCATGTCACTTAGTCTATATGAATGTTGTTGCTGTTCTGACAAAGTGTACTATTGTCCACTTAAATATATATTAAGTGGGTTTACGGGAACATTGTGGGATACTTCTTGATTATATGATTTCAACCACCATCCTTTTTTTTAATTATGCCTTAGAGTCTTGACTTGAAGTTAATAAAACTTCTACTTGTGTCTGTTCCAAATCTGTCACAGTGCTGCTTTTGTCCAGCAGATGTCACAGTCTAACCATGTGGTTGCAAAAAAACTCCATCCATAGGTCTGAATCATGGAGTGGATATTATGGGCTTATATTTCAAAGAATGTTCTTGGCATTATCACCACATTTATAAACCTTGAGCTGACTAATGATAAAGATGGCACTAAGTATGCTGCAGATTAGATCTCAAAGAGGAGCTTGTGAGTTACACTCGGGAATCCAAAACCTTCTGTCTTAAACACATTGTATTTGTGTTTGGGCTTTTAATAAAAGAGTTTGTTCTGATCTCTTCAGGTTTGGGTGGGCACTGTTGGTGCAGGACCCCAAGGCAAAAAACTCTGCGCCACCTTTCAGCACTCTGAAACGTATGCTTTCCAGGACGAGGTGGGTGCCCTGCTGCTCCATGTCTGCCAGGTCATGGCCAAGGGTGTGCTCTGCTTCTTGCCTTCTTACAAGGTAAATATACCAGTGAAACATATTGGGGAAACACAGGCTACACAATTACTGTGTGAAGCAGTGAGAGATTGATTCTTTCACATGGGGTCATGTTACATGCTGTTAATATGTCTCCCTGTTACATCTGTGGATGCTTCCAGAATTGCATTGGCCGACTGTAAGGGACGTGTAGTGAAGACCAGCACAGGTTTCAGTTCACAAAATCCTTCTCAACAAAAGGTTTAAGAATTTCGAGAAAATGGCAAAGGCAGACAGTCCTACAAAATCAGTTTGCAAGAAACAAGTGGACCATAAAAACAAAACAAAACTCTGGAAGCAATGAATGCCCTCCAAACCAAAACAATCTCATTTCCCCAGTTTTGTATCAGTTTTTTTTTTTTTTTTTCCCCAAAGTTGTTCATCAAACTTTACACATCCTTTTGCGACATGTAGTTTATGTTGGAATATTTATCATTAGTCTAAAAATGATTGTTTTCACTCATTTTCCCCTTTTCCTCCTTAAAAGCACCTTGCACTTCATGGTTGAAATGTACGATACTAACAAGATATTGATGCATTATTTTATGAATTCCCGATATAATAACTTCACTTAAAAATGTGCTCTCTATCTGTAGTGATCATTCTGTGGTCTCAAGCAATGACCTACCTGCAGTGTCAGACTTAGCCGTATGACGAGTCCTCAGTAGGACTGCAGAAGGTATTAAAAGAAGTAACACCAAAACACCACATGCACTACAGCACAAACGATAAGAAGCCATGATGTATAACAAAGTCATTATAAAACAAACAGATGCATTTAATATTTCTAGCTTTGCAAAAAGCGATGAGCAGGTGTTTCTAATCTTTATCTCCTGAAGTGTCTCTCAAAGCTGAACATTTTTAGGTAGTCATGTGTTTGAGGATTGTTGTATTTCGCTGCGTGAATGTGACTGTGCTGCTTACATTTCTCACTGGTTTAATTTACACAGGACTGGTAAATGCATTATCAAGAGAAAAGGTTTTGTGATGCCATATTCTCAACCTGATTATAAATTTACACTTAAAGTATAATAGTAATTACATGGTGCTGAAATGGTGTTTGACTGTTTGAGTTTGGAACACTGACTTATCCATTTTACCACTAGGAGGAACTAGAGACCACAAATTCAACTCTTCAAAGCTTTTGATGTTTAAAAGCATTGAGATCAACTTGTGCCTTGCAAAACAAACGACTGTTTTTAAAGCCTAGACTACATTCCACTAGTTTCCATTGCTCAGAAGCAGTGGGTTCATGTGGTACAATAGATCACTACAAATCAATAGTGGCACTTGTCAGGTACTTGTTAAATGGCATCATCCTCACAGAACTGTATCCTCTTTCAGTTAATGAGGGCGCTTCTGAGAGCACACTCATAGACACTTTGTCCCCCTTTGTTTGTTATGCGTTTTTGTTCCTGAATAATTAATGTCCTCTGTAGCTCAGTTGTCACATTAGCTTACTGAGCGCCAAGTGGATTTCATATGTCACTGTGTGTGTCTTTACATTGCACATGCTACATGTAATCAATTACCATGCTTATTGTGAAAAGCTTAATAGGTGTGAATTCAAAGTCATTAAGTCACTTGACTTCTTGATAGTGTTATGTTGTGGTTCTTAACCTTTTTATGGCCTGTGACCCTATTAATGGAAGCATGCTCTCTCCTTGGTAGCCTCAATGTCATTAGATGCAGTGTGCATAGATTAGGTTATGACCAGTTCAGCCAGTCAGCCCCACCAAAACTCATCCTACTTGTGTGGCATACATTGTTTCTTCAGCTTTCTCATATTGTTAATCATCTATCAACCCCTGAGGTATATTTTGCAGTCACTGTGATAATGTACACCTCTGAACCCTCCGAAGCACAAAACCTGCCAGTGGGACAGAAAGGCAAGTTATCTTTAAAACATTGCCAGAAACTGTAAATACAGAAAGATTTGTTGGATTTTCATCTTTCTGAGAGTCCAATCTGGCGAGAAAGTGACACAAATCTCAGTTTCCAGGCATGATATTTCATCCTAATTTCTTTATTCTGTGTCACATTCAAAAGTTTGACAAAAATAAAGCGTTTCCTCAGCTTCTCTAAAATCCATAAAATGTTGCATTCCTCTGTGCACCCGTGAAGCCATGACTGACTCAAATGTGACCAACAGTCATGACAAAAATTCAAGTGACTTTTTGTTTGAACTGCAGGCTGTGTTCACGCAGAGCAGAGAGGACACAGGTATGGGAGCAATTTAGTGGGACTGAGATTGAGATTAAACCTACTTGTCAATAAAACACAACTGAAAAATGGAATACAGAAAAGCACGTTTTCTGTAAGTTGTTGGCAGATACATTCAAGGTGAAATATTTCTGTAGAGTTGATAAACAGAGTGAAAATGCCTTGTTTGTAGAGGTTGTAAAAATGTAAATAGGGCTCTTCAACTAACCTTTTCTAATAGGTAGACCCATTTTTTTTTCCAGTTTTGTGGGCACATGTTGGCACTTTAGGAAGTGTTGTACATGTTGTTTCCAGTCTTTTCAATTAGTAAAAAAAAAAAAAACACAATAAAAAAAAATGAACTTCCTTTTTTTAATGATTTATGGTATTTTACATTTCTTGTACTGCACAATTAACGCAATTTTTTTCTAGTTTTAGCCATTGTTGTGTTGTTTTTGTAGAGGTGGGGAAAAAATGGTCCGTTATCTCACATTATCTTAACCTCTTTGCCAGTCTTTAATCATATATACTGTTTTTATAAATATACTCCCCATCTTTTGCATTTTGCAGATTTCTCTAGCAGCAGTGGAAAACATTCAGAGATTAGTCCGCAGTAGCTGAGAATGAATTTTTGAAGCTCATGTATAAATGTAAGGCATTTTGAACTCCTGAGCCACCTCTCCTGCTGCTATGTTCTACACTCACATCCTGTTCTGAATGGAAACACATTATGTCATGGAAGCCAGGCATCGCTGACATATTGTTTTGTTGTGATAAGTCAAACGGAGGACTTTCACAGCTGGGTTTTGCCCTTGGCAATTTTTGTTTTTGCCTTTGGCGTATTTTGAGTGGCTCATGTTGGACTTGTATTTCAGCGTGTCCCATCCAGTGATCGTTGGTGTGATTTCTCTGCAGTCCTTGTTTGCATGCTATCCAGTTGCATTCTCAAGCAGCTGATGACACCACCATGCAAACTGTGAGGGAAAACTAAGACTCTGGGTGTTGTTGTTCTCTCATTTTACCTTCCTTTTTGTCAGCCTGTGCTGCCAGCCAAGGAACGACTATGAGCTGTGGGATGTTTTTATATTATTGATAGCCATGTAGGAGTCTTCTATCTCTCTCTCTGTGCTGATGCATAAATATTTAATCTGCAGTCAGCTCTTAAAGATGAGGAGATGAGGGGATATGAAGGGCTGGGGTATTAATTGGAGCCCATGGAGGCTTTGTTGGTGCCACTGTGTCCCGTCTGCCCAGCGATGTGTGTGTGCGTGTGTGTGTGTGTAGTCAACATAGAGAGGGTAGGTCATCTCAAGACATCCCTGTTTCAGTGTGTCTAGGTGATGACTATCAGCTCTTCATACACAGCTGCTTCTGTGATAGACAGTTGGGGCAGTGAGGCAAACAGGCCTGCAGGGTCAAAGGGGTCTCCCTCCAGGCTCTGTCCTCACATTCACACACAAACGTACAGTCACTAGCACACATTTGCACAGTTTAAGTTCCATTCTAGTACTTTTTTGTAGCCTTCAAAAATGACTAAATTAGAAGTGAAATGAGTAATAAAATCCACCTAAATGTGTTTTTTGCTACCAGTAATGTGTCTGTTTGGGTCTGTGTTGCAAATTGTGTCAATATTTTTGTCGCTGTCATTGTCATTTCCCAACTTTGACATTGGTGCACTACTCCAAACTAAATGCAAAAAACACTCAATAGTGTGTTAGGCAGCAGCACACAGCTCAATACTTTTTAAAAGATACACATACACACAAAGTGTGCCCACAATCAATGGTCACACACACAGTTTCCCAGAGAGGCTGCACCAGTGCTGTGGTTTTGTAGCACTTTAGCCTCAACAGTCCCCCAGTTAATGCCCATTAAAACCACAGCAGGCTATGCCGTCTGGTCTCAGCCGCCAAGGGAAGGGACCGATGCGCCACGGGAGAGGGGGACTGATAGTTTATTAAAAAAAGCAGGGGTTTGCAGAGGTGAAAAGATGGCGGGGAATACAAGATGCTTTTAAAGGAGATTGAGATAAGGGCCATTAGGTGATGTCGCCTCACTGTCTGTGTGAAGACGCACCCAGCGCTGGCGCCTGGGCTCTGCCGAGCTTGTGTCAAATCAAAGTCAAACCGGACTGCACGCACTGTCCTCAGCCGCTCTGGGGTATCTGAAGCACCCATCACACAGCTCCACAAGTACTGTTATCTCAAAGTGAAGCTCCTTCTGTCTGTGTTTGGGAGCACATTAGATTCATGTGTCAGTTTGCCCAGTATAGCATATCACTGAGGATTTTTGTTAGAGCTGAGCTGATGTTTTATTTGAGTTTTTACAGTGGAAACTTCAGGGTTACTGCTCTTTGACTAAGCTGGAGCTTTTTTGGAAGGCTCTCATTTTCAGACTTTAAAAGCACAAGTTAAAGGGTGCCTGAGTCATCTGTTCGGTACCTTCTGCAACCGCAGTAGCAATAAATGGTCTCTATCGGTGTGATTTAAATATAACAAAACATAGTGTGGGAGCTTTACAATAGTATAAAAACTAAATTGAATGCATGTTTTGTCCAACAAACAGTTTAAGTCCTATACCCAAAGATGCAAATCTTTAGTATTTTTGTTGATAAATAAAATAAATGACTAATCACTTTTCAAATGACTTTAAAGTTAGCAGCACAGAAGGATTTATTTGGAACTAAGCCATATTTAATCTAAAAATACCTAACATAGCTGGCTATATGCATTTACAAGTGGAGTGTAAAAAATAATAATTTTTAAAAAAGGATTAAGGTT